GGCGCCGAGATGCCGGTGAACTGCGGCAGCGCCTGGGCCCGTGCGTTGCGGTACAGGCCCTTGGGATCGCGCTCTTCGCAGACCGACAGCGGCGTGGCCACGTGGACCTCGCGGAAATGCTCGGCACCCACGATGTCCCGCGCCATCGCACGGTCCTCCCGGAGGGGCGAGATCAGCGCGCAGATCACGACGAGGCCGGCCTCACGCATCAGCTTGGCGACTTCCGCGACACGGCGGATGTTCTCGCGGCGGTCCTCGGGGCTGAAGCCCAGACCCCGGCACAAGCCACCGCGCACGGCGTCACCATCGAGCACGGCCACGGGCTGTCCGGCCTCCTGGAGCTGCCGGTGCAGGGCTGTCGCGAGTGTCGACTTGCCGGCACCGGACAGGCCGGTCAGCCACAGCACACGGGGTTCACGCAGCGCCACCGTCATCGCCTCACTGGCTCACGGCGCCGGCGGGCGGGGCCTTGCGCTGCGCAATGGCGTCGTCGAGCGCCGCGACGAGCGCATCGCGCTGCGGCAGCACCTCCAGCACCTGGAAGCGCATCGCCAGCAGCTGGATGAGGAAGCCGACCGTTGCCTTGTTCTCCGACACACTGGCTGACAGGTCCAGGCGGTTGACGACGAAGTTCTCCACCGCCTCGACCTTCATGCCGGCCAGTTGGCCGCGCAGCGTCATGACCGCCGGCTCCACAGCGCTCCAGGGCATGGCCAGCACCTGGTCGCGCAGGAGGCGCGTCAGCGCGGCGGCATCGCCGCCGGCCTGCGCATGGCGGGCCAGCACCTCATTCAGCAGGCCGGCCATGTGACGGCCCGATTCGCTCTCCTGCAGCTCGCGCGCCTTCTGGACGGCCTGCAGCACGGCCGGCCAGTCCCTGCGCGCCTGTGCGAACACGGTGCGCTGCGTCTGGAACTCGATCAGCGCGGGCTTGCTCAACAGATCCAGCGCCTTGGCCCGCTCGTCCATCGCGGTGGCCACGCCGGCCATCAGGGGGGCCCAGGTGGTCTCGGGGGCGCGCAGCAGTTCGCTC